TAGCTGCCTGTCCAGTCTGAAGAGACCCTGCAGATACCTCCTTTCAGAGTCCTGCCAACCTTGGTTGGCAAGAGCTCTGTTGCAGGGCTATTTTCTTGGACTGCAGGGTGGAGGGAAAGGTCACTCAAATTCTTCCCATTCTGATAATTAGAAAAGGAGATTTGGAGTCAGGAAGCATTTTAATCAGCAGCTTCACAGGGAAAAGGCTCCCGGTGATTTGATCTTATGGGGATTCCAAGTTCTGCTCGATCTCCTCAGCTAGCTCTGAAGAAGGAATCTGGTAAGGCATTGCTGGAGTATCCGGCAGGGATTCCTGCTCCAAGGACTCCTCTTCAACGGGTTCTGTGTCTTCCTGCTTGAACGAGACTTTCTTTTTGAAAGTGGTTAGGAAAATCGATTTCTAAGTAGAAGGCAAAAAAGGTCATGGATTGAATTAGGAATGTCCCCCTGAAAAGCTCATGTTAAAACATGGTCCCCAATGTGGCAAGGTTCGGAGGTGGCACTTTAGAGAAACGGTTGGATCATGAAGGCTGTGACCTCATCAGTTCATTCATCCATCTGATGGATTAATTATTTGAACAGACTACTTACTGGGTGGTGAGTGTAGGCAGGTGGGGCATGGCTGGAGTAAGTGGGTTGGGTTCCTGGGGACATGTCTTGGGCATTATATATTTTGTCCCTGGCTCCTCACACTCTCTCTGCTTTCTAGCTGCCATGAGCCCAGTAGGTTTCCCTACCCCACCCTTCTGCCAGGACGGTCTGCTTCACCCCGGGCCCAGAAGAATGGCCTGAGCTGACTATGGACTGAGGTCTCTGAAACCATGAGCCCCAAATAAACTTTTTTCTCCATTAAGTTAGTTGGGTATTTTGGTCACAGTGACAAAAAGCAGACTAATACATTAGTAGAGGCTAACCACACTCCAGAAACATGCCCAAGAATGGCAGGAACACAATGTTGCTATTTTCATGCCAAAGGCTAAGTACAAAACTGAAATACAGCTGCCATAGCAAAGCAGACCATCAAATCTGCTAGGATTGAGTGACTCACCAATGATCTAACTGCCTCCGGAACAAAACTCAACACCTTTGAAAGGAAAAGCAACAGGGTCTAGGCTCCTTAGAAAATACCACCTACAATGTTCAGCATAGGAGTAAAAATTACTAGACGTAGGAGGGAGTAGGAAAATGTGAACCATAGTCTAGTGAAAAATATTTAATAAAAAGAGACCCCAGGACATAAATGCCAGAATTAGCAGACGAGGACTTAAAACAACTATTAATATTTTCAAATTTAAGTGAAAAAAGAACATAGTGAGTGAAAGAATAAGTCAGTTGAGAAAAATGAAATTATTTTAAAAAGATAAGTAAACATTTCTGTAATCCCAGTCACTGTGGAGGCTGAGACAGAAGGATTGCAAGTTTAAGATCAGTCTGGGCAACTTAATGAGACTCTGTCTCAATATAAAATTTTAAAAAGGGGTTGGAGACCTTATCTCAGTGGTAGAGCACTTTCTTAGCATGTGTAGGGCCCTGGGTTCAATCCCCAGCCAATATCAAGAAAGAAGGAAAGAGAGAGAGAGGTTGGGGTGGGGGGCGGGGAAGGAAGGAAGGAAGAAAAGAGAGGATGGGCATGGGGAAACCCAGCTAGAAATTTTAAAACTGAAAAGTATAATATCTGAAAATTTTTAAAACCCACAGAAATCCTAACGTAGGATATGGAACAAGAGAGTGTCAACAAACTTCAAGGCAGATCAATAGAAATTGTCCAAACCGAGTACAGAGGAAAAAAGATTGAAAAAATGAGCAGTGCCCTCCGGGACCTATGAAACAATGTCAGGTGTCTAATACCCTTTGTTCGTAGTCTCTGGCTGAGCCAATTCCTTCCCACCTTTGCCTAGAAGTCTCAGAGCTTCATTCCACACTGAACCCGAAGGGACCGGGCTAAGGGCAGAGAGTGAAGCACTTGGTCACATGATCTCTAAGACCCTTCTACATTCAAAGTGATGAATCTGTGCAACAAATACCTGTATTGGTTTTTAAGAAAACGTATTCCTAAAACATGAATGCTTCCGAGCATTATAAACAATAGGAATGGCTTTCTGACTGAGATACAAAATTATGGTTTATATTGTCAAAGCTCCTCTGCTTAGTGAAGAGAAACCCATATAGGTCAAGCCTCGCTGGCTCTCTCTGCTTGGACTCCACCTTTACCCACTCTATGGAGCTCTTCTTGATTCCTTTAATTGGAATGACCTCTGCCACACTGAGCACTCTGTTTCTATTCTTCTTTTGACACTTCCACTAGACTAGTATTCTATCTGGGGTACTCAAGAAAAAAATTAACAAAGTCTTGCTAAGACAAAAACAAAGATGGTTTTAAAGGATTAAGGGAGGAAAATCTGGCAAAGCTTTGAGTATGTGCATATAAGCCAGTTAGGTGAACCAGCAGGACTGCTGAAATTTCATGAAACCCCTCCTGGGCCTGTTTGAAGCCAGATTTCTCAGCACTAGTGATGCGAAATTTGCAGGCAGCCAATAGCAAGGAGTAGTCAATAATCCACCTTGAGCCAATTGGGAACCAGAGCTTGGAATCTTGTCTTTTATCTCGCCCTTTCAATTTCTATCTTGGAAATTAACTCAGACCTGAATGATGCAGCTCTCCCTTGCTGGTAGGTGATTCTTTCAGCTTTATTTTAGATCCCCCTTGGGTTCTGTTTGTTCCCTTCTAACAAGTGGAATCTATTTACATAACCACAACTTGCACACGAACTCTTCTCTAAATGTGAGAACTTGCACACAACCCAGGCATTGTCTCTTAGTTCTTATCTTCCCTTATAATTCCCCACGTCTCACCCTTGGCAAAAGAGCAAACCTGTTGTTTATCAAAATCTTGCTGAGGCTGGGCGCAATAGGGCTCACCTGTAATCCCAGCAACTCAGGAGACTGAGGCAGGAGGATCACAAATTCAAAGCCAGCCTCAGCAACCGCTAAGCAACTCAGTGAGACCCCTATCTCTAATCAAAATACAAAATAGGGCTGGGGAAGTGGTCAATGGTTGAGTGCCCCTGAGTTCAATTCTTGGTATATAAAAAAAAAATAAAAATCTTGCTGAGGTATATTGCTGCCAGGTGCAAAACATCCTCAGTGCAACACAAAGGGACAATTCAAAATACAGAAGTGAGCCAAGTTTTCTTCGATAGAGCTACTGTAAAACTAGGGTAGTCCATTATCACGTATTTTTATTTCTATTATCAGAGAAACTTGGTGTTAAAAAATGGTTGGGTCATCAGTAAGGTGATGGTGACTTCCACTTACTGAGCCTCATTTCTCCCGTCCCCCCAAAACTGCTCCAAGCATGAACCCTTCCTGAGGGAGATCTCCCTAGACCACGTCAAAGAATAGCACAAACCATCTTTCTTTTAATTTAGTTATACATGTTCAGCTTTAAAAATAAATGATTATAACTAATAATATATATATGGGTATATTCATCATTTAAGAGAATGCTGACTATATTATTATAAATGAAAATAAACTTAGTACTTTCATGCTATCCAAGTCAGCTTTGGAAACCAGCCAAAGTTAGTGACTTGTACAAGGATGTAGTGATAGTTGAAGAAGATTTCAGATCTCAAGCCCGACAACCCCTTTAAATGAATTACCTGTTTGGGCATCATGTAGTTTGTAGAAAGCATGAGATAGCAGCAGACATATTTTAGGAAATTGTAGAAAAGATTGTGGGAGATAAAATATTTGCTTGTCAGGGTGGTAAATGCACAGTTGTTTCCAACTATTCTGAACTAAGAATTTATATTCATCATTATAGCATCCAAGAGGAGGCACTAGAGGCTTGACAAGTAAAGAGAATTTAATAATAAAATACTAATATTACCATATACATTAAGTACGCACTGATAACAACCATGTTTGGTTTCTGAAAAAACTTTGAATAGTTTTTGGAAAGGGCTCAAAGGATCTCTGAAAAAAAATATTTGTTCCAGGTGAATAGAATCTAGGTGTGTAAGTCAGTAACATCAGTGGTATTTCCTGAATCTAACATGAATTTGCCTTTTAACCTTTCCTATTTTTATTGACAAGAAGTGGTTCAGACATGAATGTGTGACAGGGAGGGAAAGTTGACTAAGGGGGCCTCAGTGTGCTCAGCACGGTGGTGGTGGCTGCCCTGGGGATTTCCTGGAGTCCGTCAATGGGATGGGAATGGGCCATGGCGAGTTCCTCCTTCCTACCTTGCGACACTCTTTACACTTCTGTTGAATCTGAAGCTCTTCTTGTTTCATCATTGCTGCCATTTCCTTTTCCTTGAGGCTGTTCTCATATTCCTCCTTCAGCTGGATCTGTTCTCGAATATTCTGGGGTAATGTCACAGGCTCAAGTCAGGTCAGCATCAGGAGGTCTTATAAGGGGGCCCGCCCTCCCTGGGTATAATCCTGGACCTGGGTCCTTTAAGCCTGTGGAGTTTCTTCCTATAACTAGCTTTAGCCTGCTGGCAGCTCCAAACCCGCCAACTCCACACCCCCGAGTTGGATTCCAGCTGCAGACTAAGTCATCCTGGGAAGGTGGATGAACCAAAACCCCCCTGGCCAACTCCAGGACTCTGCCTTGGATCCCAGTCTCTCTGGGGAAACTGAGCCCTCCCTAGACACACCTCCACACACACGCACCTTTTCATTTGCTAGAGCTATTTTCCTGTAATGGTAAAGCCAGTGAGCCAGGTACTCTATTGGGTCACTGGGCTGAACCTTTGCCACTTCTGCCAGTGCCTGGGACAAGGAATTTCCAAAGCACTTCTTCAGGTATTCCGTTTCCATCCTGGGGACCTGGGAAGCATCCAAACAGACACATTCTTGTACACAGGTAATCCTATCTTAAAAACAGATTCATTCTGACCAACTCAGATTTATTTTAGGATAAATATGAGATGTTACTTGGTTGCACCCGTGTTCATCAGCTTCCCATGGCTGTGACAAAATACCTGAGGTAATCAACATATAAAGATGAATTTATTTTTGTCAGTAGTTTCAGTCTACGGGTGCTCAGCAGAACACCATGGCAGGGAGCATCAGGAGGAGCAGAGAAGCTCTTCTTATACCCAGCTGGGGAGTGTAACTCAGTCACCCGGAAGGTTGGCCTCCCACACTCACCCCCTCCTACACACCCTGCCCTTAACCAGCAATAACCAGCCATCATCCTCTCTGGATCCCCATCATTCAAGGACCAAGTTCCAGGCCTGGTGCTGCCACTTGCAGCTGTGTGGTCATTGGAAAGTGGCCAAAAACAAACTGCAAAAGAGAAAGCAGTCAGAGTCTCACAATCCCCTTTCAAGGGCTTCCACTGGGCCTCACTCCTGTAGAGTTGCACCATCTCCCTATAGCACCTCAGGCTAGAGATCCAGATGACAGCATCTGGCCTTTGGGGACATTTAAGATCCAAACCACTGAATCACCCTTCTCAAAAGAACCAACAAATGCATACTTGCCAGTCGCCCTTATGTTCAAGCAGACTTGTTCCAAAGTTCTCCAGTTGGAGTAGATCAGACAGTAGGTCCTGGGGTCACCAGGCTTGAGAGGAGCTTGATATATTCGAGGTTAGGAAGGCTGAGGCCTTTAAT